TGCTGTGGTTTTAGTTCCCAACTGGTGGTGCTAGCCCTAGGGGAAAACATTGTGTTACCATATAACAGCTTCCTGGTGTTGCTAATCTTTGGGCTGCCTCTCCATGCCCTATTTTGTCTTTTAGCTCTTCCCAAATTTTTATAATTAGTCTCCAACATTAAATTCCCTCAACTGGATCACCTGGAGCCCTGGTGGCGCACTGGTTAAGAGCTTGACTGCTAACCCAAAAGTTGACAGTTTGAATACACCAGCTACTCCTCGGAAACCCTATGGGGCAGTTCTGCCCTGTCCTGTAGGGTCACTATGAGTCAGAATCGACTCGATGGCAATGGGCTTGGTTTTTTGGTATTGGATGACCTGACATCAGCTCTGGTTTCCCAACTGGACCCTGACAGTTATGGGGTGAGGCAAAGAAAGAGCCTCTCTGTGCTGATGAGAAAGCCACCAACAGTCCTAGGAGGAGGTAGTCTTCTTGACTAAGGCTCTCCTTCCTGCCTTCCCAACCACATGGTCGGTCAAGATAACCTCTTCTCAGCTCCCGAGTTCATATGTTAAATCCAAGCTGCATTCAGATCCATTCTCTCTCTCTCCAAATTCCCCAGATTCCAGGGGAGGGAGCAGATTGTACCAGCATGGTTCCTAGATGCCCACCTCAGTGGGTGAATAACAAGTTAAGAGGATCCTTGGGAACTGAATAAACACCCCAAAGCATGTCCCTGACACCAAACCTGATGGGCGGCCACCTTATCAGCATACAGTCCTGGGAAATGACACCAAGTCAGGGAAAGGGAGAATGGAGGAAGGACAGGGATGAGGGCAACAGTGAGAATTGAATCTCTCCTCGGTTGAGGGTTGTGGGGATTGCCCTAGTTCTAGCATCTCCAGTGGTTAAACCATTCCTCCAGCCCTGCAGGAGCTACAGAAATGCCATACGAAAGGATTTGGGGGGCATCCACCTGCTTGAAAGTGGAGGCTTGAAGCTGCACTTGCATAGCATGCAGTATAGATGCAGTATAGGACTGAAAATATGTCAATATCTTTAACAAAAGATAGTGAGTGTTGATGGAGATTACTGCGAGGTAAGCCCCCTCAACCATTCCCCCTTTGTTGTTACCAATGTTCCACCTTAATGCCAGCTTCTGGCCTCCCTATACCCAAGCCTCCTGCCTGGAGAAGACAAACTCCCAGGGTCTATGGTGGGGCGGGGGGCGGGGGGTTGGTGGCTAGTGAGCACCAGCTATGTCAGCTTACTCTAATGCACCCGCCTGGCCTCACCAGTCCATTGTTGCAGCTCTGCGTGGGCTCGGACCGACTTCACACATGTACCACTTAACAGGCCTTGCCTCCTGTTCCAGGGCTTCCCTGTTGATGCTGCAGGCCAGGTGTGCACAACCCACAGTGCAGGGCCAGTTGGGGCAGAGGTTAACCAGTGGAGGAACAAAGTCAGTGCGTATGTTCCCCCACCTCCACCTCCTCACCTGCCCACTCCCCGAAGGGATGGTTCTGAGATGTTATGTACTCGGTGTCATGGATTGAATTATGTTCCCCCAAAAATGTGTGTATCAATGTGGCTGGGCCATGATTCCTGGTATTGTGTGATTTTCCTATATGTTGTAAATCCTGCTTCTATGATGTTAATGAGAGAGCATGGGCAGCAGTTGTTAGTGAGGCAATACTCAATCTACAAGATCGGATTGTGTCTTGAGGCAATCTCTTGAAATATAAAAGAGAGAATCAAGCAGAGAAGCAGGGGTACCTCATACCACCAAGAAAGCTGGGAGCAGAGCACGTCCTTCGGACCTGGTCCCTGTGTGGAAAAGCTCCTAGTCCAGGGGAAGATTGAAGAGGGCCAACAGAGAGAGAAAGCCTTCCCCTGGAGGTGATGCCCTGAATTTGGACTTTTAACCTACTTCACTGTGAAGAAATAAATTCCTCTTTGTTAAAGCCATCCACTGGTGGTATTTCTGTTATAGCAGCACTAGATGACTAAGACACTCAGCTAAATCTTCTCTAGGGTGCAGCCTCCCTCCTTCCCTGCTTTACTCCCCACATCCCCCACTCTGCTCCCTGGAATTGAACTCCTTAGTCAAATAATAGCACATATGCCTTGCCTCACATCTGCTTTCTGGGGAACCCAGGCTAAGACCTTCCTATCCCTCATACAGGAGAAACCCTCCCCAACCCATGGTTTTTTCCAAGAGAAAAAGACACA